ATAAAGGATACTACGAGAGGCTCTAGGCCGGTAAAGTCGTCTCCGAGGAGCTCGTATAGTTCCTAGCTAAGGTTATACTCCTTAAGGATAGACTGTTCTTTACGCTACGGACCTCGATCCGAAGGCGAGTCTCCGTTACGCCTCGTAAGTACGTCGGCCTATAAGTTTGCTTTACCGGGCGTATACTAAATAACGAAGTTAAACCGGGAAAGAAACTTACTCTAGCGTACCTGCCTACGGCTAAGGATTTTACTCTTAAGAAAGTAGATAAGGTTCTTATAATCCGAGCTAACCTAGATCGGTAACTTAGAACCTTCGAGTTCCGGACGCTATTCTTCGAAAGCCTTAACGATTACGAGGAGCTCTTTATCGTAGATATCGTAATTGCATTCCGCGGAGGACATTTTCTTAGAGAGGTAGGCTACGGGCAGCTACGTATCTTCTAGGGTCGTTCGTTAAAGGAGAACGGCGCTAGTTATATCGTCGGAAGCATCGGTTTCTAGGCGCGTTTCTTTATCGAAGTCGAAGTACTATAGGATCGGTACGGTTATAAAACTTTGCCGTAATTAGTCGAAGGCTTCTTAATAGGCCGGTAACTATTCAAATTTAACGTCTTTCCGCGTAAGTGCTGTAAGTAGACGGGCGATTCCGCTGAAATTCCGTATAAATCTCCGGTAGAAGTTAGTAAAACCGAGGAAGCCCTAGACTTCTTTTACGTTTCGTAGTACTCCCTAGTTTAGAACAGCTTCGATCTTGCCGGGATCTATTCGAATACCTTCTAAAGAGACAATAAGGCCGAGGAATTTCACCTCTTACTTATAGAATTCGCACTTATCGATATCGATATACAGTCTAGCTTCTACGAGTTTCTTAAGTACCTTTTCGATATGTTCGTAGTATTCCGCTTTCGTTTTACTATAAATTAGGATATCGTCTATATACGCCGAGACGAAGGCGTCTAGGAATTCTTTAAGCGTATCGTTAATATATAATTAGAACGTACTAGGTCCGTTATAGAGCCCGAACGGTAAGACTAGGTATTTAAAAAGGCCGTAACGGGTTCGGAAGGCTATTAACTATTCGTCTCCTTCGGTAATACGGATCGCGTTAAAGGCGGCGATTACGTCGAGCTTAGTAAACTAGCGAGCCTTCGAAAGGCGTTCGAGCGTTTCGTTTACGAGAGGGATTAAGTAGCGGTTCTTTTTCGTTAACGCGTTGAGGCCCCGGTAGTCTACGTAGAAACGGAGACCTCCGCCGGGTTTCCGGGCAAATATAACTAGTACGGCTGCTTCGGAGGAACTAGGGCGGATAAAGCCCTTTTATAGGTTGTCTTCTAGGTATTTCTTTAGTACGAGGAGCTTATCTCGAGATATCGAGTAGAGAGGGCCGTACGGCGGCGGCTTACCGTCGATTAGCTCGATTTTATAGTCGATACCTAGCCGGTACGGTAGTAGAATATCGGCGTTCTTCTTCGAAAACTAGTAGAGTCGGTGCTAATGCTCTTTCGGTAGTTTCGTTCTTAGATCCGTTAGTTCTTCGTCGAACTTTCGGATAGCCTTTTCGATATCCTATATTATTATAGCGAAGATCTAAGTACGTTTATCGCGGGCAAAACGCGAGAAGGCAGCCGCGCTAATAGCGAATACGGTACGATCTCGGGGAGTATCGGAGGTAGAACTAGATTCGTTAAAGTAGTACTTAGCGCAATACTTACTCGTAAAGGATAGAGATTCGAAGGCCTAGTCGATAACCGGGTTATACTTTTTAAGCTAAGGAAGACTAAGAATAACGGGGTAAGTCTTCGGGAGTTTCGTAAGGAAAAACATAATGTGTTCGGTATACGGGCCGATAGTAATAGATAAGTAGTAGATCTAGGTTACCTTGCCGGCGGCCGCGGTCGTACCGTTAAACATTTCTAACTCCCGAGCGTACGTAAGGTCTTAGAACGTTAAGCCGAGCTCTCTCGCATAGTCGTAATCTATAAACGAGTAGCCGGTTACGCCGTTGTTAATAAGAGCTATAGTTTTTAATAATTTCTTTTAATTTCCTATTAACGTTTCTACTATAAAAGGCTAGTAGACTAACTCTTTCTCTATAGCCGAGCTAGAGAAAGGGAAGGTAGCAGTAGATACTCTTAGTTTTAGAACAAATAAACCTTATAAGCGACTATATATAAGGTTTAAGCTTTTCCCTAGCCGCTCGGAGTAGCGCTAGCCGGTAAAGGCGTATCTAGAGTCGTAATATTCGCAGCGGCGACTCGCTATATCGTTAGCGTATTTAGCTAGCCGACGAGAGACAAGTAGAGGCGAGCAATATATCCTTTTACTCCGTAGTAGATGCATTCTCCTACTATACGGCGACGCTGCTTCTTTTCTTCCGAAAGCTTACTATTTACTAGGGGCGCGCGTAGACGGGCGCCGAGCGAGGTAGCGCTTAAATCTATCGGATCGGCGGTAGGCTAGGCGCCTAGCGGTATTAGGGCTATAGCCGGAGCTAGTGCTAAAGCCGGCGTCTAAGCTGTCTATAACTTCGACGGTAGCGTAGCGAACGGCGACGTAAAGCGACCGGCATTCGTACGAGCGCCTCTGCGGTTAGCGATAATTTTCGCGAAGTTTCGAGTCGTATTGTCGATACGTATAAGTAAGGCGTACAGTTCGGTAATGTTTAGATTCTCCGTATCCTTATCGCGGACTTATAGCATTATCTCTTCGCTAAGGCCGCGTACTAAGATCCACTTAGCGACGTCTAGGGGGTATTCGGCGTACCTAATCTCGTATTAAAAGGCGGTATAGTACTCTTAGTAGGTCTTGTTTGCTTACTTAAGTTTGTCTAAGTTTAGGCGCGTAGTTTGCTTACGGTCGGGGTCGCCGAAACTAGCGTCGAGGGCCTTCTAGATAGTAGCCGTTATAGTTGTTTTTGTATTTTCTAAGAGGCTATAGTAGGAATCGAGGGCGGAGCTACCGAGTAGAGAAAACATAAATCCGGTCTTTAAAGCTTTAGTCGGATAGTAGTCGGCGTTAGCGAGAAAGCGGATCTTAACCTATATCTTAAATTCTTCGTATACTTTACGCTTGCCGGTAAAGCGTTCGGGGTCGCTTAGCTTCTTACTCTTATTCGAAGTAGGTATAAATAGGTAAGAAGCGGGTACCGTAGCGCTTAGGCGAGTAGAGGCGAGCTACGACTAGAGGCGGCCTACCTCGTCTTCTTTTTCCGCGATAGAAGTATTCGCGTCGCTAAGAGCTATACTAAGGCTAGTACGGGAGACCGAGAGGAAACGAGTAGCATCTTTATAAGCCTTAAGCAGGTTAACGAGCAGTTCCGGGTCGGTAGCGTAGGCGTAATCTAGCTATTCGCGCGTAGCGAGGATCTTATTCTATACTAAGCTTAAAAAATCGGGTACTTCGTTAGGTCTTATATTTTAAATCCATTCGTCGGGCGTATCTATCTTAATAGAGGCGTTTTTTAAGGTAGTTCGTAATATAAGGGTTAGTAGCTAAGTAGTAAGAGTGTATACGAAACTTTAAACTAAACTAAAGGGAGCACTAAATTAATATAGCTACTATCTATATAAGACGAACTACAAAGAAAGGAAGAAGGGTACCTTAGAGGGAGAGTCCCTTCCTTAGTATTCCGCCCTACGGCCGTCTAGTACGTCCGACGCGTAAGCGTAAGTACGTATATCTGCTATCTTATAGCGCCTTTATCTCCTAGCTAACTTACGTAGCGCGCGTATACGAACTCGTTTAACCGCTCTTAAGTAAATATGTTTCTCCTAGCTCTTCCCTATCTTCCGGTTCCTTCCTACTACTCGGATCTGTCCTACGACTCTATATATCTCGCTTACTATCGTCCGTATATACGTACGTATAGTTTAGTATAGTTCCGTCGTTTGTATATTAATATATAACGTATTATTCTGCTATATACGGCCTCCGCGGGAGTCCCTAAGATGTTACGTTATACGGCTAAGTAGGCGACCTAGGCGTACTAGGCGTACTAGGCGTACTAGGCGTACTAGGCGTACTAAGCGTACTAGGCGTACTAGGCGTACTAGGCGACCTACTTCGCTAGGGGCTCCTACTACTAAAGCAACTCAAATCCGACATTACTTTATAGTATAGCGGCTAGCTTATAGGACTTGTCGGTGCTTTCTAGGCAGCTACTATAATACGTCGCATCGATATAAATAGTATATAGAATGTCTTAGAATTATACGCGCAATAAGCGCTAAGTGTTTATAGGTAAAATAAAGGGGGTATAATTTAGCCGGCTTCTACTACTAGCTCGTAGAAGCATTAAAACAATATTATATAGTATTATACCTAGCAAAGAATCTACTTAGAATTGTACGCTCTATAACCTCTAATAGTTCCTTTCTCGAGATATTAGTATCGTAATATAGGTATCTATCGGCCTATAGCTAAAGCCGGCTAGCTATAGGCTAGCTAAACAAACCCGGCTTAGGAGATTAATAGTATCTTAACGCTACAACGTCGCACGCGATTCATTTTTGTAGCGTTAAACTTATAATTATACGCGCTATAAGATGCACTTCTAACAATTCTGTATTTCGCGTTATGCGCTGAGTTGGTTATTTTAGCTATCCAAATCTAACAGTTTGTATTCAGACCCTTGCTGCGTAAGGCGTTTATAAATAAACGGATAATGTCACTTAGCCTGCTCGCAAGGGTCTGATGGGAGATAGCGAGAGCCTACCCTTCAAAAATTGCTGCACCTTGACGCCATTTTAAAGAAGTCGCAACGTTCAAGCTTTCTGCCAGAGTTTATTATTATTTGGCCAAACAACCAGGACATTGCGAGCAGCAGTTTTATGACGACCTTCGTTTCAGAACTTGATTGACGCCCGACCTGACTCTTCTTACCTCACCCTGCGTCTGAGCGGTCGGCGCAAACAAGACGACCACCCGCTCCGCTCACTTCCGTCCTCACAGCAGCGAGCCAACCTGTTCATATAAGCTGAGCCAGCTCTGCCAGCCGCCATGGCTAGCGACTACGCAGACGACCATCGACAACCACGTGCACCTCGACGTGACCACCACCGCGCACCATACCCAGATTACGGCCCAGACTTCGCAGGCATGGATGACTATGGAGCAGATGCACGTGGTCGGCCAGCGCCAAGAGCTGACGACCCACATGCTGCAGACTTGCCACCGCCTCCACTAGGCGAAACACTCAAGCCAGCTCTTAAAAGAGAGGGCAGCCGCAGCAGAGTCTCGCCGGACACGCGACCACAATTCGAAGACGGTGTCTCGGCGCTCGGGCGCGGTCCACCTGATCTGGAGCGCAAGAACAGGCCACGCGATAAAGAGTTTAGAGACCGCCGAGACGGCTACGAGAGCGACGAAGGCGACGCACACAAAGCTTCCAAGTACACACCTGCCGGAGGTCGAAACCGCAGAGACAGAGGCGGCGCAAGAGATCCTCAACCTCCCTATCCCGACAGTATGGTGGGCTCACGAAGGGGAGGAGACCCCTACGACGATGCTCCTCCGCCGAGAAGAAGGAGAGACCCAGATCCGTACGAGGACGACTATGCTCCGCCACGACGGCGCCGAGACGATCCACCGGTGCAATACGGCTCTGATCCAGTACCGGCGCGTCGGCGAAGCTCTCGCCCACCTCCACGGCGTGGAGACCGGTATGATGACTACTCAGACGACGATGACTACGACCGGAGACCGCGCAGACGTCGCAGCCATGATGATGCGCGCAGGAGGCCGAGAGAGTATGACGATGATCGATACCATTCAGATGAACCACGAAGGCGGCGCGACGATGATTACGATCGTCCACGGAGACGAGACAGAAGCAGGAGACGAGATGACGACTATGATGACTACGACAGCCGGGTCTCACGTGGCGACCGTGATAGGCGCCGGGATGACAGGCAGCCGAAGGAAATCAAAATCGGCAAGTACGACATTGGACCTTGGGTGGAGAAAGGTCAGAAGCATTGGGTGACACTTGCTCCCATCTTGACGCCAATCGTGATGAATCTGGCGAGGAAGCATATGGGCGGCGGCTCGAGTGGTGGTGGGAGAGGTAGCAAACGATAGCACGACGACCTCGAACGCTACCTCCACAGCCGCTCGCGGCATTGAGAATGTGCTTGCGGCAGGCAGTACATTCTGGGTCACAAGAGTCACAGCAATTCGCAGAATCGAAGCTCAAAGCGGAGTGCAATGAAGGAGGGAGCATGGGACGTGCTGGAGGACTTGGAGGACTTGGAGGACTTCTGCTATTGAGGGCGCACGCGCGATCTAGAGAAGGAACGGACAAGGCGAAGGCTACATGTAATGACGAGACGACGAGACCTGGGAGGGACACATTGCATTCGGGAGTAGGCGAGAGGGCTTTGTAGCATTCGATAAGCATTCTCAATCCTGAAGAAATTTCTGATAGAGGTAATGAGGTGGCACTGGCGTGCTGATTGCGAGACAGATAGCCGCCGAAATCTCAATTGACACGACCCTGATAACGACGCGTTCCGACTGCTCTTGCCTTCGTCGTCGTTGCATGCTGCCTGGGATTAGCGGTGACCTGCAGAAACGACGATAACGCACGGGCTTTGGCGGGTTTGCCGCGAACAAAGTCAACGCAACTCTTCTTTCGCATGCATGAGAAGGCGCATGAGACAGCATATCACCCAAGATGTCGCCACAGGAGCACTTGATGCATCAGGCCCAAGATGCTCGAGAACTCCCTGAGGCCAACAACAAGATCGCCACCACGCCAGATTACCACGCGTACACATATGAGTTCCTCAGCGAGCTCGGCGATGAACACAATCTGGGTTGCAAATGCTGCCGCTTCACGTATGGGAAAGGTTGGTCCACAAGATCATCAAGTTCCAACATCTTGATGCTGACTTTGACGGACAGATCTGCCGGTACCAAAGAAGCTCGGCACTGAAGAGACGCGTTCTGCTGCGCGTCACTTTACGATCTCGATCTTCAAGGACTGGACTCAGCTGAACGCCATCATCAAGAGATTCGAGGCTACAATTCAGAAGAGATGGATGTCAGTGCCTTATGGGCCCGTAGTCGCGTAAGGTTTAGTTCTAATGCGTTGTCACAGGAAGAAGAGCGTCAAGCAGAGACGGGAGATTTTGCTCAAAGCCTGGCCTGGAATGTCTCAGACCCACAGACCGGACTTCGAAAACATGCGGTCGATAAAGAAGCAGGCTCCTCGCACACGAACATGTCGGACTGAAGCATATCTCTGGCCACAGATCAATCTCGAAGATCTGCAATCGCGGAATCTGCTGCTCCATTTCCTCAACTCGCGCGGCCGCAATCTACCTGACACCTTCCGCATTGCGGACGCCAAGGCCGCGCATTTGGGAGATGGCTGGAATCGGTCTCTCGACTATGAGCAGTACTTTGAGGACTACTGCTGCGAATTCCACTACTATGAAGATCATGACCATGAGGGTGAAAAGCTCTGCTTACTATTCGAAGAGAAATGCTCACCTTCACGCTACGGTCAAGTCATCACCAATCATATCAAGGAGCTCCTGCCATGTCAATTCAAGTTCCTCCGACGATCGAACGAAGGCCTGCTGTCTCTCGAAATCCAACAAGGTATCTACCGGTTTCTGCTGTCCTGTGCGAAGCACATTCTTCACGATGTTGCACCTGCCCAGTTCTTCCTTGCTCCTTCCATGCCAGAGCCAGCGGTCCCGGAGACACGATCAAGCGAATACCATTCCTTTTCCGCTCACTCGCTCGAGGAATGTTACAAAGTGCCTCAGAAGCTGGACTTGCATCGCTTACGCCTTTTGGTTGACAGCCGCCGTGCTTCGGCGGAAGATCATGTGTGGTTACTGAAAGAGGACCCTGCCTACTTGATGGATGTGCTGCGAGAATGGAAGGAGCACGGAGTCAGTCATGACGATCGCCTCTGCAATTGCAAAGACTGCTGGAATACATGCGCGGGCATTGCTCTCACTTACTCGCTCGAGGTATATGTCTTTTGGGACGACCTCTATCGGAAACTGAAGGCCATGCCAGAGATCGACGTACAGCTCGCCCGCGCTGACAACGAGCGTGTCAAACTCTCTCGTCAGGACGAAGATCGATGGTCAGCGCTGATGGATGTAGTGTGGCATTTGGTTGTGCAGCCTATCTCTCACCTGGAATCGGGCATTCCATGCTCGCCTCGTCTTAGGCACCGGTACTCTTATAGCGCGGACCAAGAGAGGAAGGAGCGATGGCAGTTGAGGGCCAGCGCTTCGGGCGCCGAACGACGTATTGATCAGCTCTGGTACTCGATTTGTCGCGAAGAGCAACGCGATAGACACGGCTTGTTGGGTCTCATCCAAGAGTTTCAGTACATGCTAGACACCGATGCCGAAGCTGCCCAGTACATCGACCCCTGGCTGACCACTCACTTCTCCGACATTGCCCTCTGCGCGGAGCTCATGCATTCGGTTGATGCGCTGGCACCATGGCTCGATGAGAACAAGACAGCCATGCTACGTTTCCGTCCCTCTGTGGCGAAGCAGGTTCAGAAATCGAGTACCTTGCAATCCAAGCTTCGACTCGGCATCCACCGCGTAGCATCCGGCGACTACCTCGTCTGGGATCCTACGAAGAAGGGATGGTTTGAATATCCCATCGACAAGACCTCGAGCCAGGCGAACAACTATCAAATGCGCCTCGCAGAGCTTCGTCTCGATAAATTTTGGAAGAGGCTGGAGGGATGCTTGGCAGAAGTCGAGGCCATCAGTATTGACAACATGATCAAGTGTCGCTTGTCCCAGCCACGCACGCTCTTCCGAACAGCTCCATGGGTCGAGCCACCTGTCACAATACCCACACCGCCACCTTCTCCCAATGAGAAGAGAAGACGATCGGGGCCGCTGTGCGAGATCGACAGCAACATTCAGCATGGATCCAACGTAACTCTTGCCAAGAAAGATCTGATCAAAGCGCACCCGAAAGACAAGAAGAAGACGAGAGGCACCCCGGCTGCTCAAGACCCGCGTCTGCCTGCTCAACATCTTCCCGTAGTGCCGAAAATGGACAGGGTCGCCGTACCTAAGCGAGCATACAAGACGCTTTCGACTTTGCTGCCTTCGCCTGCTGAGGCACAACAGCCTCGGCCAGAGCTGGCATGGGAGGAGATTCTGTTTGCATTCAACGCCATCGGTCTTCAGCCCACAAAGCTCTACGGCTCAGCTTGGATCTTTAGCCCGGTCCCCAAAGGTGAGATTCGCGGCATCGATCGAGATGGTGTTATAACTGTTGGCAAGATGGATCTTGGGCGTAGCATTCAATTCCATGAGCCAAAAGAGGTGAGAAGAGGCCAGAAAGTACCGCGGGGCATGGTAAGCCTGATTTGTTGGTGATTGACTTGGCAATGGGAGGCAGCTAACATCGCATAGGTGCGGACTTTCGGACGCAGGCTGAAACACGCCTTTGGATGGGAACATGCTGAGCAGCTGTTCGAAAGTGAATGATGCTGCGGGAGACTGACTCCGATAGGTCCTGTTTGAGCTATCAGCTCCGCTTCACTGCCAGGGCCACGCAATTGAATTTCCCAGGAGGCTCGCAGCATGTTCATCGCTGAACGAAGTATGCAAGAACCGCATGTCCGGGCTGATACTTCTTGGCAGCAACTATTTCGCTATGTGGTCAGACGCGCGGCAAAGGATGGGATGCCTTAATTTGCATGTAATTAGCATCAGCGGCTTTACTAACTGGCGGCTTTGCACAAAACAACAGCCGTTTGCTCATGTCATGATGAGGGGCCATGAAGGAGGCTGTGCATTCGCTAAGGCACACCTTTATGTTGGAGCCTGCTTTAGTGGAATCCGGCAAGGCATCAACATGATGAGAACAAAGACGAAAGCATAATTAATCACCATGTCATGCATGAGGTACCTGGCAGAGCTGAACGTGAGGCATTAGACCTTGTGATAGGCTCATCCGGATCGAAGAAATGATCTGGTGATCTCGTGGGTGTGGTTGTTTCAAAATCGCCGTCAACATTTGATTGGTGCGTCAGGTGAATGCCGGTCTGCCGAAGTGACCAGGAATAGAAAGCAGTCGTCACCTTCCATAGCCTCGCAGTGGAGCCAAGCCTTGCGCGAACGACACGGCCTGAATGATGTTTGGCGAACAGTTCTCTGGGAGTACTGTAGTAGTTGTACATCACGCGCTCGTTCCCGTTCGGCTGCCTCCTGAGATGGTAGGAGACTTTCACTCTTTCTTTGAACACCGTCGTTCTGTCTTCTTGCCATCACTATACCTTGACCGGGCACGCCGCGCGTAACCAGAGCAGAAACACGCAGACTCGAGTACCTGCATGACCACGACCCAGCCCAACGCCCAGTATGCTCGATGAAAATCTCCCCGCCTTCTTCCTCAAACCTTCCTCGACGAATGTCAAACATCATCGTGATTTCTACCTCTCACACCACGGTTCCGACCCAGCGCCAGCGTACCTGTTACAAAATGCCGACCCAAGCAGTACGAACCTCGCGCATAAGAACTGCTATGGCGCAGCCTTATTTGATGCCTACAACCCAGAGGTTCTCTTTGGCGAAGCTATGGCCAGGCCGAACTGGACACAGCCTACGTTGAGCCAAGAAGAGATCAAAAGAAATGGAGGCATCGCGCCACCCCCTCAACCAGTGCTGTCTACTGAATGGGTAATACAACTTTACAATCCAGATCAGCAGGTCGGGATAGAAGTCAAAGAAGGTAAATGGGGTGCTTCAGACTCATATGAGTTCTCCATGCCGGTATGCTCATTTCGAACGCCTTCTGCTTCGAATCTGGATCGAGGACAGTCTGATCCTGCGAGCCTGGCTATCACGCCGAAGTTGAACTTCGTCTGGAGGAAGGAGAGCAAGTTGGGCAAAGATTTGACGTGTTATATGACGGGAAAGTCTTCAGATCAGGCAACGAAGAAGAAGAGCAAGCGGGATCCGGATATTGCGATTGCGCTGTGGAGGAGTGTGAGAGAGCTCACAATCTACGAGCCAAATATTCAGAGACTAGAGATCGAGGACCCGAAAGGGCTTGAGGTCGTCCTACTCCTGAGCGCAGTTGTGCTTAAGGATCTATATTTTGGTAGCAAGGACTCCGTGAGGGACGTCTTTAATATCTCGGACATCCCCAACGAGCGGAAACTGAGCGGCGGAGGCAGGAAGCTCTCAAATCCAAACCGCGCAGCAAATGCCGTAAGCATAGTAGGCAACCCAGCACTGAGTCACCACCCTCCCAGCATGTATGGTGCTTCAGTCGCCGCACCACCCGCACCAGCTAGAAACGACGCAAACCGAAACGCTCTACCAAGACTCGAGACCCGTCCACCAGGCCAGCAGCCACCTGTGATACGAAGACAATCCCTTCCACCACCCATGGCCGACCCGCGCTCCCAGTGGTCCCTCGACGCCGAAACCGCCCGTTTAAAAGCCCAACAAGAAGCCGAAGCAAAAGCCGAGGCTCGACGCCGCCGCGAACGCGAAAGAGCAGATGAAGCAGAAGCCAAACGCCTGCAACGCCAACTCGAAGAAGAAGAAAAAACCGCCCGACGCAAACAGGCAGAAATCAACAAGGAAACAGAACGTCTGAGAAAAATCTACGGCGTCCCACAACAGCAACCTAATACCAGTCGCCCTAGTTCCGGGAGGAGATATAATGGTGGTGGTGGTCTAGCGCCTATCCCCCAGGGAAGAGCTACGGCGAGTTCGAGTGCCCCGCCGCCGAGAGGTAGTAATGGGCTTTATATGCAGCCTGCTGCTAGTCAGAGTGTTATGATGAGTGGTGCGAATCCTAGTTCTAGTGTTTGGAGCTTGGGGTCTGGATTGAAGCCTGCTAAGAAGAAGAGTTCGTTTTTTGGGTTGAGGGGTGGGGATAGTGAGGTGAGTGGGAGTGGGAGTGATGGGAGGTTGAGGAAGAAGGGTAGTGCGATGTGGTAGGTAGTCAAGAGGGGAGGTGTGGTTGATGAGTGTTTTGCTTTTTTGTGATATGGGATTAGCGTGGAGTTCTGGGGTTTTAGATACCATAGTTCTACGATAGCAGTACGCTGCGATGCTGATATGCTGTGAATGAAGCATGTTTTGGATTTTCGTAGCCGCCTTATATGGTGAGCCAGGGTGTGTTGTAGTTCTAACTACTGCATCCGAGAGCGGTCCCGCACTGCAAGCACATTCAGCTGCCAATTTTGTGGCGTATGCATGTAGCGGCGGGGAGCGGAGTCGCGGACTACATGTAGATGCGGGCCCCGGATACTTCAACGGAGCTGCAGCCTTTCTTTTCACATCGAGCTTGTGCTTCTACTCCTGCGCAACAACATGCCCGTTGCGTGAAGAGGCTCTTGCACGCGACAAGTCTTTGCTCCAGACAGAAACTGGCAGTACTTCATGCGGGATGCGACCTTGGCAACAATGATAGGACTACTTAGGTAGTCGCCAAGTCACGTCATATTAGCAAGACAATACTGTTCAGCTTGAGGCAGCCATCGCATAGGTATTCGCCATGGATTTCAAGCACCATGGCAGCGACTACGCCAGTAACACTGTTTACGGCGGCAAAGTTCAGTTCGGCGATAGCTACAACTTCAATTCACAGAGCGAAGCAAACCAGAAGGAAGGCCTCCGTTCTGAAGCTCTCAAGGCCCTTTACTGGACGGACCCAGAAGTGGATCTCACTAAGGCCCTAGATCGGACAAGAGCTGGCCGCACGCCAGGAACATGCGAATGGGTTTTGAGGAATGAGGATTTCAAGGCATGGCAGGCCGCGGAGGCGCCCCAACTGCTCCTTGTCACGGGAGAGCCTGGGATCGGCAAGACTGTGCTCGCCACGTTTCTCGTCGATCATTTCAAGCCGCAACACGAGACGAAAGACTCAACTTTCGCTTACTTCTTTTGCATGAATGCAGAGGCTCGACAATCGACCGGCCTCGGCATCCTCCGAGGCTTATTGCTATTACTACTGAGGAAACAGCCAGCACTTTGTGATCATTTGTTGAACGACTTCGCAGTGAAAGGAGAGAGCCTGTTCGATAGTATCGAATCTCTGTGGCCAGTATTCGAAGCCGTCATTACAGATGGCATCTTAGGCAATCTTCTTCTGCAAATCGACGGCCTGGATGAGTGCGAAGAGAATTCTCGCGATCTTTTGGTGTCCAGGTTTGGTGGCCTTCTGCGAAAAGGGAGCTGCAAAAGAATGAAGGTCGTCGTTACCAGCCGTGTCATTCGAACCGCTAACGACCTGGCAAACGATTTCCCAGGGGCTACACAAAGGATTATGATGGATGTAGGCAAAGTCAACATAGACCTACAGCGCTTCATCGAGTACGAAGTAGAGGACATAGCGAAGCGTTGCAACTGGGACTCGGATCTCAAAGCCGAAGTCAACGAGCAGGTCAAGAGTCGGGATGGTGGGACATTCGTATGGGTGTCGCTCGCGCTAAAGACTGTGTCGAAGAAAAGACCTCACCAGGTCATCCATGAGCTCTCCCAACTACCGCTAGGCCTTCGGGATTTGTACGCACGTATCCTTCACGAAATACCATCGGATGAACGAGACACAGTGTACCGAGTCTTGGTTCTCGTGGTTGCCGCTCGCGCGCCCCTGTCTCTAGATGAGATCTCGATTGCGCTACACTTCTACCCGGGACGCCGTAGGAGGAGGAAGCTACCTACTGGGAAGGAGATGGATCAAGGCAAGCATTGGGTACAGACTTGCGCCATCCTCCTTCGCATGAACGAAGAGGATGGTCGCGTCCGCGTCAATGTGTTTCATTTGACGCTAAAGGAGTTCTTGACAGGCCAATCACTGCCTCCACATGTCTCAAGTTATCGCATCGATCAAAACCAAGCTGAGCAGACTCTCTTGGAGATCAGTACAGCATATCTCCTCTCTGAAGAGCTGGATGCTATTGCAATTGATGCTGAGAAATTAAGGGACATGGCTTCGGACAGATTCAAGTATCGAGAACCCGAAGAATTGGTGCATCGTGAGGAAACCATACCCCGCAAGAAGCCTATTCGCCTTCTTAAGAACAAGATACTGCGTGGCCTCAAAGGTCGTCAGAAAGAGAAGGAAGGAAAGGGACAGAGAGAAGAGGCGAAAGAGCAAGAAGAGAAGCATAGGCCATTCGAGCTATGTAAAGCTTGGTCAGAAGTTGAAGATAGGCAACTCATACTGCTCGAGTCAGCATATCGGTTTCAAGAAGACTGGAACGAGGCCACAGCGATGAAGCAGATTCGAATCATGATTCTCATACCCAAGCAAAGGAAGCAGGCCCGGTATACGAACGATGATTTCCTGTTTGTTCTGCGCTTGATGATCGAAGACTCATCGCCGGCCACATCTCGTGCAATCTCCATTATTTGGCACTTTATGATCGTGAGAGAATCGGGCAATCCTGCCTCTTTTGATTATTTTAAGTTAGAGATGTCTAACTTGCACAACGCTATTGCGATGGCTGCGAGATCTGGGGGATCTGGGAGATCTGACATGCTCGAAGCATTCGTCCGATTGAGACATTTGCGTGGCCTAAGACCCCGAGTAATACTTGCTATGGCTATGCAGACCTTTGTACCTGAAGGAAAGCCGCCGGCCCAACAGGACCGGGACGCATTCGATTTGCTGTTCTATACAGCGAGGCTGGATTGCATTCCTGACGGATCGTCCCTACTCCATTCAGCAGCTTCAATCTGTTGCTCTTATCTTGTGAAGTGTTGCATTGAGGTAGGCGATCAAGTCTCCGCACGAGATGGACGTGACAGGACTCCTCTACATCATGTCGCGGCAATGGCTTTTTACGACGACCCTGGACGTGAGGCGATTCTCTGCGCGCGGCTGATCCTAGATGCTGATTCTGAGGGAACCAGTCTTGGATCCAAAGATGAGGACGGGAGGATCCCTCTTCATTATGCCTCGGCCGTAATGGGTGAGAATCTGCAGTTGCTACCGCTTTTGATCGATGCGACTACAGATCAGACCCTAGTTCTGGCGCAAGATAAGTGGGGCCAGCTTCCTCTACATTATTCAATAGCAATTCGTCATCATGGCGGGGCTGCTTGCTTTACGAGCAAATTCGTGGCTGCACTGCTTCAGGCAGATCATGAAAAGAAGTCGCTACATATTGCGGATAACAGTGGCAGGCTTCCAGTGCATTGCCCAGCCTTGGAGGGCTGCCTGGCGTGTGTCAAGCTCTTGGTCGAAGCTGACGTCACAAGATCGAGTCTACTTGTACGAGATCGGGATGGAGCTACACCGCTTGAATGTGCGCAGCGGGGGCAAGAGGATCACGAGAGGGAAGGGTACAGAACGGAGTATCTGGAAGACAAACTCAATAAATACATTGACGTCGTTCAATATCTCACCAAGGCTACGGCAGAAGCGCAAAGACTTCAAGCGAATGAATCGAAGGTAGCCGACTCGACAGCAGGCTCTTCAAGCTGAATCTCACATATCCAAACCCTGAGCGACATTCTCGAAATTCCACATCCCTTCGAGAAGTTCCATGACCACAGTCTAAGCCGCTTCTTCCCGCTCACTCGAACTTCGACTCATCCTCTATGCAGCAGACAAAATGTCAGTATCTCGGGAGGCTTTCGAAGGATCGGATATACATACCATTTTCCGGGGGAGTCCAGGTTCGACCGTAGAAGTATGGATCACGCTTCTCGAATTTGGATTCATCCTCTATTCAGGCAAGACGTTAGTATCTCGCCTGGCCAAGAGGCTTTCGAAAGATCGGATCGGATGTACACACCATTCTCTGGGGGAGTCCAGGTTCGGCCGTAGAAGTATGGATCACGCTTCTCGAACTTCTCCTCATCCTCTGTGCGAAAATCAGCAAAAAGCTGCAGGACTAGCAGTGCCGAGACTCAATCTACCATTCTCTGGAGGAGTCCAGGTTCTACCATAGAAATATGCATCACGCTTCTCTTCTCGCTTTTCGAAATTCGGCTCATCCTCTGCGAAGTACGTTAGTGGTTTGGTAATATTGCAGGCTTAGTCCTGTCCTTACCATTCTCTGGAGGTGCAAAAATACGATAGAGGAAATATGGATCACGCTTTGCGACCTCGGCTACAGCTCCTGCACAAATCGTCAGATCACCTTACGTGAGAAACGATGAATCGATCGAGGTACAGGACGATTAGGGGAGATGGGGGACGGGAGTACTCCCTTGATATGCAATCTAACTAGTCAATGCTAGCGTACTGCCTGAACGAATTATCCGCACCTTTACAAAGTCCACGTCTAACGTTTTCAATGCTAGCTGCCGCTTACGGGGATCACCCCCGTCCGCCATCTCGCTTAATCGTCCTGTACTTACTCTCGAATGGAGTCGGAGCTGCTGCGACGACAGTCGCAAGGCTGCAGAGTGCAACGATATCGAGGAGCTGCATGATTGTCGAAAATGTCAAGAAGGTTGCAGACCCGGATGCGGTATGATGTTGGAGACCGTTACGTATCTCACTGCTGGTCGTAAACACCACTCACATCTTATACGACAATCGTGACGATGCTCATCACACAACCGGCAATCACCATTTTGTTGTGTTAGAATACTCGGGAATGTACGAGTCTAGTTGGATTTATAAGCAAGAGAAGGAGAAGGAAGTTGCGAGGTCATTCACTTACGGCTTAGTAATAGCTTGTGATTCTTGGCGCTGGGGTATATAAGTAGCTAGTGAGTCCTTTATTCGAATAGCAAGCAATTCTATCGGTTTACCGCTTATCTACAACAGTTATGAGCCCGGAACGCAAGTGAAGAAACAAGAAAGTTCGAGAAATTACCCGATCAGGCAACCCGCTTGCGCAAGGTTAAACCTTATCCGACGTCACTCCGCAAATCGAAGAAAGCGACTAACTTCGAACAATAATAAGATAACGGTTATTGCTCCGCTATAGACGCCGGTCTATAGGCGAAAAGAACCGATTAATACGAATCAAACGATCTAAAAATATCAACGATACGACCGTTACGAGTCGAGAAATCTAACGATAAAGATGTCTACTACCGAGACGACTATCGGCGCGGTAAAGGGAATTCCGCAACTTACTACCGAAAATTATACTATCTAGATCGATCTAATTCAAGACTATCTATCCGGATAAGGCCTTTAGAGGTATAGGTACGGTATACCGGAATCTATAAGCCAAGATACGGCTAAAGCAAGAGAGGCTAAAGAAGAAGACGCAAAAGCGGTTGCGTTTATTAAGTCTACGGCCGGGGATAAGCGTATACACCTCCTAGGACTACGTACGACTAAGGAGGTAATCGATAAGATAAAGGAAGTAAGCGAGGTATCGACAAAGGAACGGGTTTCGACGCTACTCTCCCGTTTCTATTCCTTTAAAGCACTTAAGGATATCGATACTACGGCTTCAGCTCTTACGCAAATCCAATCCGAGATTAAGGCCGCGGATAAAGACGAAGTTCCCTCGGAGGCCTCTAAGAAGGCAGTCCTTATTTCGTCCTTAGGAGAAGAGTATTCGTCTACCGTATTCGCCTTAAAGGCGGCCGGTTTATCTACTCTTTCCTACGAGGAACTAGTTTAGCGACTACGGGACGTTGAATATACTATTACTACTTCTAAAGGCGACGAAGTAGTAGCCCGATATACTAAGGAAGCGGCGAAAGATAAGGCCGGTAACGGAAAGAAGGGCAATACGACTAATACGCCTAACAAAGCTAAAGGAAAGACGTGTTACTATTGCCAAAAGGTCGGGCACTTTAAACGGGACTGTAGGAAATATAAATGGGACTAAAAGAACGGAAAAGTCTAGGAAAATAAGGAGGAATCTAAGATCGCGGCTTAGACGGCTATCGATTCTACGACTCGACTATCTAATAAAAGGGATTGGATCCTAGACTCCGGATGCACTAGACATATATCTAACGACAAGAACTACTTTACGGACTATAAGGAAATAACCGGAAAAGTTACTCTAGCGAACGGTAAAACAATAAAGGTCGCGGGATCCGGTACAATCCTCGTCCGGTTTAAGGGAATTCCGACTACGATTCCGGACGTTATATACGTACCGGAGATCGGTTATAACCTGCTTTCGATAAGCCAACTCTCGGAACGAGGTATTACGACTCTATTTACTAAAGAAGGGGCTATACTTCGAAGAGGAAACGAAGAACTAGCAAAAGGAGTACGCGTCGGAAGGTCCTACGTTCTAAAGGAATCCGAGTCTATCGGGACTTCGAGAATAGCTACTACTACGACTAAAGGTACTACGCTACTTTGGCACCGACGCCTAGGACATCCGGGAGACGAAAAACAACGAAACGTACATAAAGTACTACTAGGAGTCCCGGAGCTTTCGACGTTAAATAAGTCTTGCGAGACTTGTATTACTACGAAGTCCGATAGACGACAAAGTCGAGAAGAACCCGAAAAGGCAGACTATTGCCTAGATAGGGTATATATCGATTTTTGGGGTCCGTATAAGTATAGTACCTTAGGAGGAAACAGGTATATACTAACGATTATAGACGACGCTACGAGACGGTTAGATATCCGTCTTACTCGCTATAGAAGCGACGTATACGAAGCCTTTAAGGCTTAGAAAAACGAGGCCGAACTCGAAACCGGGAGGAAACTAAAGGCCGTAAGAATCTGTAAGAAGGGTTATGTTAGCAGGTAGATAGGGTAGTAGTTAATTAGTGTAGTATTCGATAGAGATCTAAGAGGAGAGGGAGGAAGGCAGGCTAGTTGGCCTAACGCCAAGCGCTAAGCCCTGCCTAAGGCATTAGGACCCTAGCTTTACTCGGCCTAGTTATATACTAATTCCGTATAGCCTCTAACATACGCTTCCCTTCTAAAGGCCGCGCCCTCGTGGCCTGTCTATGTCCTACGACCTCTATTGTCGCTGACTCAGCGAGTCTAATAAGCTGCTTAGCCCGCGCTAAATTAAACACTCAACTACCTAATTATGTAACTATATTAAACCTTACCTTCTAACACAATATCCAACTCTAACTACGCTATCCTTGCATATAATAAAGTAAAGGGATATAAGGCTATAAGAATTGAGGGCTATCGACCAATTACAATACGAGCGCGCCTTCCCTACTATAATAGGTAGGCGTACGAGGTATTGTAGTACTGCCTCCGTTCTAAGTAATGTCGTTCCGAGTTCTCTACGTCTACTCTAAAAGACCTAGAAATGTCCGCTCCGAGGGTTTATCCGTTCCGAGGGTTGTTCTTGTTATTACGAGGACTATTATTTACTATCGTAGTTTCACTAGCCTAAATTGGTTAGGTTTAGCAGCCTTTAAGTATTAACTAATTATATCTTTTTAAAAAACTTAGTTCTTCTAGTTTCTATAGGTAAAGGCTATTATAAGTATAGTAGTAGAGGTTCGCCTCGCTTAAAGGGTTAGATAGATCGAGGAGTAACCTATTGTCCGCAAGATCGACCCCGGCTAGCTTAGCTCCGTAGTTTTGCCCTTAGTTAGTCTATTAGTCGCTCAATCTTTTAGGCGGCTTAAAGTTTTAACTTAGCCTTAAAGTTTTAATCAAACCTTTGATAGGTTTAATCTTTTAACTTAGTTAGTGCAGTACTTTAGGCTCGTAGTGCAGGTAAGGTTAATAATAGTAGCGAGTAGATAATATTAATAACGGCGGCGCTAGTCGTCTTAGCGCCAACTTTACCTTACTTCCAATTTCCTTCTTTAACTAATAACAACTCGGTAATACCGTTACTAACATAGCTGTGCCCTTCCTTTCTTAAATAGCAATACACTCCGCAATACTATTACTAATATAGCCGCGCCGGCCGCCGGCGCACTGCTAGCTCGTAGCGCGACACTATCGTCTTCGATAGGATAAAGAAATAAGAGGGGGACCTAATACTAGGAGAAGGCCCTATAGGGCGTATTAGTAAAGAGGTAGAGCCCTTAAAAGAGCATGCGATTGGTTAACGCGTTATAGCGCGCTTATTAACACTCGGTGCGCGTTTACTATAGTAGTATAGTCTTATTATCCTAGTTTACCGGCCCCTAATTAGTTAGCTAATAGCACCCTAGGGGTAGTATTGTTCCTAAGCCTTAGTAATATTACGAGCTTTTAGCCTTCTTCTTATTCTTTACGCTAGTCTAATACTCGTTCAATAACTTAGCTATATCCTTAAAGGAATCTTTAGCCTCCTACGAGTCTTATTTAGGTAAATAGCCTTGCTACCTTAATAGGTATTCCTTCTTGCCCTACCTAGTTCGGTGCTTTAGGATGCGTTCTATAGACTATAGCTCTTCACCGTCGGCTAGTATCTCTTTATGTTTAGCAGGGGCTTCTTTATTAGAATCTCCGCGGTAGTAGTATAGCTTAAGGAGGGAGATGTAGAAGGTATTATAGATAGTATAGTATAGTGGGAGCTATAACTAATAGGCCTAGCTATTGCCCTTCGGTTCTCGGATTCGGAATAGGCTAATATACCTTAGTGCAAGCTTAGGCCTTGTTTTGCTATTAGGTAATAGGTGTTTGCGGATACGGAGGTTCTTAGTGCTTAGCATAACTATATCGCCTTGCTTGAAAGTTATTAGCGTATAGTGTTTGTTATAGTAGGCCTTCTAATATGCCTAGGCCTTTGCTAGTTTGTTAGCTAACTTAGCGTAAATCTCTCGCATCTTTTGAACCCTCTTAATAGCCGCTAGCGTCTTAGGTGTTAGTACTTAACGCGCTTCCCTTTCCTTACGCTCGGCCTCGAGCGAGGTAAATAGATCTTATAGTAAGGCGGCGTTCTGGCCTATTATAGCTATATATAGCGAGACCTTTGTTAATAAGTGCACACTATTGTTGTATACGAATTTAGCTAGTTATAGGAGGTTAACCTAGTTATTAGGGTTCTTATTAATGTAGCTGCGTAGGTACTGCTACAGGGTAGCATTTTGCCTCTCGGTCTAACTATCTGTTTGTAGATAGAATACTATAGACAGGCGATGCTTAAGTCTTAGCTATAGGCAAATCTTACTCTAATAGTAAGATATAAATGTCGAGCCTCGGTTAGAGACTATCCCCTTAGGGGTTCCCTAATAGCTATAGAAGATGTTATTCTATAGTGATTTAGCTAAGTTAATAGCTGTCTAATCCTTCCTAGTAGGGATATAACGAGCGCCCTTAGTGAATCGGTCTACGACAACTAGGATAGCATTATATACATCCTTACTGCCCCTACGCTTAGTAGGCAGGAGGCCTATAATAAAATCTATTATAAGCTTAGTAAATGGCTTCTTTAGAATAGGAAGTAAAGACAACTCGCTAAATAGTAAGTGCTTTAGTGCTTTAACTCGTTAACATACGGTATACGTATTTACGTAGTCCTTTATGTCCCGCTTACTATTTAGCTAGTAGTATGTACGCGATAGTAACTCGTACGACCTCTCTATACTATA